ACAGGCACCTTGGAAGACGAGTGGCTGTTACTTTATATTTGAGCAATCGCGAGTTACTTTGTCATCACCTTTGCTTATTATCATTTAATAGACAAGTTGGATAATCAAGTGTTTCGTTCATATGTATAGCTTTTTGGTGTTTACTGTTTAGAATTTCGGGGTATGCATTAGTTTTGTCAGAAGGCCATCTGTCAAGTAGGATTAAGCTTGGTCATTTTCGCATCAGACTTGACTTTCCAATAGGCGATTAAAGCGAATTGTACCATGTCAAATTTCAGTCGTAGAGTTCGACCCATTCATTCTCAATAGCTGCCTTGACACTAACGTCATTATCTGATGTATTTATGCAATTTTAAATTTAACTTTAAATCGGCCACACAAAAGGCCACGCCATCTTGGTCTTCATATCTTCGTTGAGATCTTTTTTCTAAATTGTCTGATGCACATTCTCTAATGAGGAAAATGTTTTTTTTTGAAAAGTGGATTCTAGTTAATATTTTCCCAAGATAAAACAACTATGCCATATTCGCAACTTACTATTTCAGGTATCATCTTTTCCTAGCTTTCTGCTATTCCACTTAATTTTTACCGATCTTCCACCTCAGTTTCCGCTTCACTTCTGCCCTTCGCCGAATGTCTGTCATAGTCAGCTATCCTTCAGCTATTGGAGTCGAAACAAATTATTTGGCCTGTGTCAAAGGCTCTCCAGAGGTGCTGAAATCGATGCTTCTAGATTCCCCTCTTGATTATGATGATGCATATCTTTATTTGGCCCGCAGAGGGGCTCGTATACTCTCCCTTGGCATAAAGCAACTTGGACAACTCTCGCGTCAACAGGTGATTCTTTGTCATTACGGTACAAATTTCTGTTCGTCATACTTTCTAGTTTATCACTAATGGCGGCTTCATTAATATTCGAATGATTTAAATTTACATAGGCTGAGACATCATGGTACTGACATAACCTTGTTCATGTATTTTGTTGAGAATTGGCAGATGCGTGTGTCAAAATTATGGCAAAGGATGTCATTATCATTGTTAAAAATGTATAAACTTTATTTTCTTTTTCCTTTTCTGTTTTACTTGCAAATCATGTTTGAATTCAAATTATATAATTCTATGCTGTGTACATCATTCTATCAGAATTCTCATTTTCATTTTATATATTTTTGGAGACGGCCTTTTCACCATTATTATTATTATTGTGATATCCTATTTGAGACTACATTGCGAGGCATCTATGGTAACTAAGCTGAGGTGACTTCACACGAATGTTTAACTTACCTTTATTTTTAATTTACCCTCTACCCGCAGAATATTTTTTCATCAAGATTAAAATGTTCTTTTTCCATCAGATCTCTAAGTTTGCTATTGTAAGAGCTTACTGGTTTATGATCCCACTCCATGCTGAACGAGTTATACCTCGGGACCTGAAGTCTGAATGATATTATATTAATGTAGTATAGGAATAAGATGGAGTATAAAACTAATTGACTGTATAGTTTGTTTATGCTGAAGGTGAATGGGCAGTAGGTAACGAGGGCACGAAGGTCCTATAGCTCTGGACGCAATAAAATGGTCGTTTGAAGGCTGCTTTGGACGTAAACGCTGACTAAGCTTATGTGAAACGGAACGGAATACGAATGGGAAAAATGAGAAGAAGCACATTAAGCTACGTGCATTCAACATCGTGGATGATAGAGATTGGGCTTGATCAAATGACGCTCTGAGTGAGAGGCTGTAGATGGAACGAGAGCAGGTATTTTCCACGAGCTGAACCTTAGGCTAAGTGCGGATGTAAGAGGGTTAGACTAGAAGGGGAGAGGGACAGCGGGAAAGGAGAGAGTAAAAAAGAGTATGAGAGAAAGGGGGGCGTTTTGGGAAAGAGGTGGAGGGATAGGTAGAGCAAGAAGAGGAGGGAGCAGGAGGTAAGGAGTGACGTCTGAGAGAGGGAGATGAGGAGAGAGAGATTAGTGAACGAAGCGGCGCGGAATGGGTCTTACAGCAATGCGATTAGAATCAGTGTTATACATTTCATTGTGCAAAATTCAACCGTTAAATCGAATGTATAGTTTTATGCTAATATGCTACTATAAGTAATAATGTGATATTTTATAAATAGGTACGAGAAATTTCTCGCGAGCAAGTGGAATGCAATTTAAGCTTCTGTGGATTCGTCGTTTTATCCTGCTCACTGAAGCCGGACTCTTTTGCTGTGATACAACAGCTCTTCGAATCCAATCACCATGTAAAAATGATCACTGGAGACAATCCACTGACTGCCTGTCATGTCAGCAGCTTCCTTAGAATCACCCGCCAAGCCACACCAACTCTGGTGCTAACTCCGCCTAATCCTATACGTGAGCTCTTTCGGGTCTTCCTTCATTAAAAATCTTTTAATTTCACATATACATTTTTTTATCTTTTTGCATATTTTGAGTACTCAGGCTAAAACTAGCATGCTCTACCTGTACTGCGAATTTAATATATATACGTCTTAATCTAAGGTATGAAGATCAAGATGGTGTGGCCTTTTGTGTGGTCGCAGTCTCCTTTCGTTTGTTTGGCCTTGTTTTCGCAACTTGGTAGGAAGACCTAGAGGAACGCACCTAGTCTGTAGTCCACAAGATGCATGATAATTTCCAAAGTCGGACCGTGGGCATATGATGCCACATTTAAATAAGAAATTATGATAATGTAGGGCGGATACGAGGATATAGGATTGGTGATTAGTCCAGGGCGGAAGGAGAGATACCACAACGGTTTAGGATCGGCTTCACTTGTCTCTTTGACGAGTTGTAATGTGGTGCTAAGACTGGTAATGCTCACTGACGATGCCGGTGAAGCGTCCGCGGTTCGACTCTGGAAATTATCATGCATTCTATGGACTCCGGACAAGTTGCATTCCTCTAGGTCTTCCCGCCAATATTAACAAGTTGTGAAAACAAGGTCAAACAACTTCTATATACGTCTTGTTTATGCAATTATTTTGCTCTAACATAATGCCATTAACCAGTGAATAACTTGCAAACTGCTTAAATTTTTTTACAATGCTAATTATTCTTCTAAAATGCCTCCTTAAATTGTAGTTGTTTCCTCGGTTAGACTAACCTTCGGGATTTCCGAATCTTCCTCATCCGCTTCATCTTGTTGATCACTTTTTCTCCGGTCTAAGATAGCTTCATGATCTAGGCATTTCTTTCTTGTTAGTATTGCTTTACCCTTGTATGAAAATCAG